GGCGAAAGTTTTCGACGGAAATATTTTCGTCATCAAAAATTTTTGACGGCAAAAAATTTCATCAAAATTCTTTACAGATTTCAAATTTTGGCGAAAGTTTTCGACGGAAACATTTTCGTCATCAAAAAATTTTGACGGCAAAAAATATCGACGACAAAAAATTTCATCAAAATTCTTTACAGATTTCAGATTTCGGCGAAAGTTTTCGACGGAAATATTTTCGTCATCAAAAAATTTTGACGGCAAAAAATTTCATCAAAATTCTTTACAGATTTCAAATTTTTGCGAAAGTTTTCGACGGAAACATTTTCGTCATCAAAAAATTTTGACGGCAAAATAATTCATCAAAATTCTTTACAGATTTCAAATTTCGGCGAAAGTTTTCGACGAAAAAATTTCCGTTAAATTTTTTGACAAGTTTTTTGATAAAAAATTTTCAACGAAACACATTTCTATAAAAAAATTCCGTAAATTTTTTTGACAAAAAAAACATTTTGACGAAAAAAATATTCTGTCAAAATTCTTTAGAGAATCTAAATTTCGTCGAAAGTTTCAAATGAAACATTTCCCTCGAAATAATTTCCGTCAAAATTTTTGTCAGAACACATTCCCATCGAAATTTTGAACGAAAAACATTCCGTCAAAGTTTTTGACAAAATTCTTTTTTCGTTTAAAACATTTGATGGAAGAAATCATTTTCGTCAAAATTGTTGACGGAAACTAAATTTCAATAGAATTTTTTTTTTTGTAAAAATTTCGACGAAAAAATAATTTTGTGACGAAATTTTCGTCTTTTGCATCATAAAAATTTCGACAAAATTTTATGAAAAATCAAGTCAAAAACGGGTCAGGTCAGATTTGACCCGGTTCAGAAACCAAGTCAGGTCAGATCCAAACTGGTTCTGAACTAGTTCAACAAAATTCAATCCAAGTCAGACCTGACTTGGATCAAATTAAAGCGGGTCGGGTCAAAATACCTAACCTATAAAAATCAAGTTGGGTCGAGTCGGACAAAAACCTGATCCGACCTAACCTATGCACATCCGTAGTTTTTGTCTTTAAAATACATTTTGTCTTTCTATGTAATGTCACCCACATGCACAAAAGAAACACAGGTAGGCTTTTTCTGCGAAAGAGAGAAGATAATTAACATGCTTTGGAGTATTGAAATTGCATCGTGTCTGTAAGTTTTGTTTTGTTTTGGATTTTAATATTCTTAATAGTACATGGGTTTCTTAATTATTGAATTTAAATTTATTTATCACTTAACCCACCTTTTATTTTTAAAGTTTTATCAACCATTTACTTTATAAAAAATTTCTGTGGTGGCCCCATTCTAATTAACAACCATTTGTATTATTTAGAAATAACGCGACGCTATATGCAATGTTATTTAAAATTTATTTGGTAAACATTTAAAATTTATCATTTAACTACTAAAAGAATTAACAATTTTTTATTTACCAAAAATTAACAGTGTTTGATTCAACAAGGGTAGAAATGTAGAATTAAACAATAAGATCCAACATTATTATTATCATCTCGATGTTCAAGTTTGGTACATTGCCGCAAAGGGATCATCTCTGGAAGGTTGACTTTGACCCTATGAACTTTGTGTTTTCGCCAAACAACGGTACCCGCAGGAAGCGCGCTTATATGCTGAGGACAAAGGTCTTTTTTTTTTTTTTGGGTATCCTAAGGTCTTTTTCTGATGATAAACCTTCAACTTCTGCCAAAACTGCAGCCAACATTAACGATATATGTTTTATGAAATAGGTACGAATCCATTCCTAATGTTTATACTTTAGGTTCCTTGATGAGGATTTCATTTTCTTCTTCTTCTTCTTTTTTTTAATTGAATTGCTGTTAAAAACATGAAGTTTTCAAATGTTTTGGGAGAAAAGTTTGGAAAGTGTATACTACAAAGAATAAGAGAAGCCATCAGGTCAGTAAGGGAAGTTAAGAAAAATATAGCAAGTACTCATGTAGTACTTGAAAACTCAGTATATTTTTTATTTTATTTAAAAAAATATAATTTACTTTTTTAATTCTATCCATTATTTTATATTTATTGTTAGGGGTGTTCGCGGTCTGGATTGGATCGGTTTTGGAAGCAAAAATTATCTGATCCAATCCCTTCAGTTTATCATGTAATCATCCATTCGATTTGGATTTTTTTTTTTCAAATCCGATCTAATCCAATCCAACTTTTTTCGATTTGGATTGGATCAGTTCTCGATTTTTTGAAAATCCTAAAATTTGTTTCATAATTATTGTGCAAATAATATTTTTTTTCATATATTGACTTTGTAATTTTTTTTTGAAATACAAAAGCATCATTGAACGATATTATAGTTTATTTTTTTGGGCAATAAGATATGAAACTCTACACAGATGAAATTTTGTTGATGAGATGTAACTAGTTTTTTTCTTGAGTTTAGTTGATGAGTTAATAGATCTTGAGTTTATAATTTTTGGGCTATGATTGAGAAAAAGCCCAAGTAGATAGATAGATAGGAATTAATATATTGGATCAATTTCATCAACCAATTCAAAAATTGATCTAATCGAATTAAAATTTGCAGTTTGTTCTCGGTTATCGATTTTCGATTTTTGATTATCGATTTTTCAATTCAGTCACCACAATTTAAATCGATTTGAATTGATTGATGAACACTCTAATTATCGTGATCACCTAAATTTATTTTATTTTACTTTTTAGTAAACGAATCTCTATTCCTTTATCACGAAAGGTAAGCTTGGAAGTTAATTAGGTTGACAATTCGCCAGTTAGGATGGCGATTAAGCGGTTAGGTCACATAAATAGCATTGTATCGGAGGGACATCTACTGAGAACATTTGCAATTTGCAACCTAGAACATTGCTACTTGACTCATGGTTCTGCAATAATAGAAAACTCTTGTCTCTCTCTTTGTCTCTTAGTCATCTTGTCTCTCTCTCGCAATATACCAAACTTGAACAATATAAAAAAATAAATAAACAAAAATAATGATAAATTACATATAAGCATCGTCGTAGGGTAAGATATCCTTCGCCTCTACTTCTCAACACTAAAATTATGTGTTTTGAGGTGAATATTAACTTTTTCCTTGACCACAACAATTAATGTAATAAGCGGTAACTTTGAAGGAATTTAATTATTCTTTTTTAAAGTATAATTAAACAAAAATCTTTAGAGAAAGGAATATAAGAGAATGTAAGCAGATGCCTAGATGGTCAAGGCCAAGGTCATGATGACTCATGTCAAGATACTTCGTTTCCCTTTCAATTTTGTTGAACCTCGCCGCCCGTGTTGGAAATTGGAATTCAATTGTCTGAACTTCGAACTTGCTGGGCAACTTCTTCCGAGAAACTAATAAACTATCCACGTGAGTCATCTCATCCAAACTCGTTTACTTTTCTCTCAATTAATTATTTTTTCTATATTTTTTTAGTACGGTAAAAATAAATAACATAAAATAAAATAAGAATTAATATTTTTCATATTATAAGAGATAATTTTATCTCCTACACACATAAAAATGTGAGGGCGCTATTTTTTTATCTTCTTTTCACATGACCTCACATAAACCCGATATAGTTTTTAGGAATGTGCACAGGTCGAACCGAACCGAATTTTTTGAAAAACCGAATCGAATTGGTTTAAATGGTTCGGTTCAAAACTAGTTCGGTTCGAAAGTGGTTTGGTTCGGTTGGAAACGGTTCGGGTCATCCTTATTTTGAAAAAAAAAAATTTAAAATTTAAAAAATAAGGTTATAAAAATCAATTTGGTTCGGTTCTTAAACTGGTTATAAAAATCGGTTCGGTTCATGAACTGGTTCTTTAATAACCGGTTCGGTTCATAAACTGGTTTTTAAAAATCGATTATTTTAAGGGTAGTTCGATTCGGTTGATTTTTTGATTATTTTGCACACCCCTAATATTTTTATGTATAAGTAGGAGATATATTTTATATGAGAAATATTATTCCCAAAAAAATAATTTGATTCTAACCATCTAAAGTGATAATAATAATTATTATAAAGGAGGGCCTAATTTTTTTTATTACCATTGTGTATAAATATGTGTTTATGGAAAAGATTTTGTTCGTAGAGGCGAAACTCACTTTAATGATTTCTATGCCTTGAAAAAGATTAGTCTTCTTCTGTCGATCGGGGAATACTTCGAGAAAACTAAAAAAGAAAATATATTAGTTTAATATTTTTATGTTATATGAGATAAAAAAATTTTATACATACATATAAAAATATATAGAGCTTATATATTCTTTTTTTTTCTCTTCCTCATATATATATATATATATATATACGGAGTTTAAATTTCTGTAGCTACTGTACGTGTAGCAATCAAATACTTGTCATATATATACGTGAAAGTATTAAATTCGGAGAATGATAACCATACAAAAGATAAAAGCATTAAATGTAAAGAATCATAACTATACACATATCGTTGTTGTACGTAAAACGGCCGTAGAAATGATTTTACCTATATATATATATATTAATATTTAATTTTATTTCTTAGACACGTCAAAATTAGTACAGTCCATATGAGCTCCACAGAGCACGATATATATATTCTGGCTTTGGCATTTCAGTCAATTCAAAAATAGTCGAGAAACTGCTTCGTTACAGGAATGAGATCAGCAACATGGCGTCATTCTTAAAGTGTAATCCACATTATACCAAAAAGAAAAAAGTGTAATCCACGCGTTTGGACGTGAAACATACTTTGTTATAAAAGCAAGAGTCCGCGGATTCATTTAATTCATCTTCCAAGTTCAATTCATCTTCTAAGTTTAAATTTTAAAGCAGTTTCAGAAGTCTTTTGATAAAGTGAGTTGGTTGGTGTTATTATTAGAATTAACATTAATATAGTATATATAACTCATTTGCAGCTGAAATTGTCTTCATTTCCAAAGTTTGCTGCTTTCCTCCATCCATTTATCCATTAATAATTAAAGAAGGCAAGGCACATGGGAGAAGTGGCCGAAGTTCAATATTTCAGATCAGAAATAGCTCTGCTACAGTACTCGGATGCCACCTTCAAACCCCCACTTTCTCCTCTGTTAATACACATTGATTCTCCCACTCCCAAAGGCCAACCTTGTGCCTTTGAATCTGATCCCTCACCCATTGCACAGAACCACCAGCAGAATCAACATCCAAAAGATGCGTGGCTTCCTATCACTGAATCCAGAAATGGGAATGCTTACTATGCAGCCTTCCATATTCTTAATTCCAACATTGGGTTTCAAGCTCTCATGCTTCCTGTTGCCTTTGCCACTCTTGGTTGGTACGTACCTACCTACTTTCCTTAATATATTTTTCTCTAGGTAATATATTTTTAGCGTTAAAAAGTGTTAAGATATATAAAATTATTAATGTAACTTCACTCAACAGTTAAACTTTTGAGTTGAATTAATTCTTTACAAGAAAGAAGTCACGGCACCATTAAAATTAAAAATATATTATGCATTTAATTACATTAATTTAGTACGTCTACTTTATTTTTATTGTGATACGAGTCTTTTTTTATATATAATTTTAATTTCTAAATTTAATAGGACAGTATGTAATACAATAATATTAAAATTCACTCATGATCTGCGTGTGCGTGGAAAACAAAACAGAGCAACTTTAATTATGTTATCTTGTTGAAAATTCAAACCGAACTGCGTCCAATTACTGGTTTTAACAAAAAAATTGGACTCTAATGTTCAACATTTATTCAGTAAACTAGAGGTCTAGTCTATAATATTAACATATAAGGAAAGCAACCCACATGCACACAAAGTCAAGTCCTTCTAGAAAAGCTTCAACTAATCTTACGTATGAGATAAAAAATGAGGATGACTGACAAAGACATACAAACAAAACCAAGTCGAATCAGCCAACCGCAGTCTATGCGAAATCTGTCATGCATACTCATTGGTTTATGTTGACATAAATAATTATGTTTTTTCCTTTTGTACATTATGTTGACATAATATTTATGCCGAATAATAATATTTAATGACTTGCAGGGCATGGGGTATTGTATGTTTATCAGTAGCATTTGTCTGGCAGCTCTACACCATATTTCTCCTTGTTCGACTTCATGAATCTGTCCCTGGAATTCGTTACAGCAGATACCTCTTCCTTGCCATGACTGCCTTCGGTAAGCACAAACTCCTTCTTTATTATATTATACCCAAGGCAAGTTTTTCATTGGAAAAGATAAGAAATATTAATTGTTAATTCAAAGACAATAGAATTTTCATTCCTAATACATTATTAAGTCAAAATAAAAATAGTGAGGCTTAACAGTTACAGTATATTGTTGTGCATGTTAATAGGTAAAGGGATAGTAGGAAAGGTAGCAGCGCTGTTCCCTGTTATGTACCTTTCAGGAGGTACCTGCGTCATGCTTATCATCACCGGTGGTGGGACCATGAAGCTACTTTTTAAGACAATTTGCGACAACGATAATGGGCACACGTGTAATGCACTCTCACTGAGTGCTGTTGAGTGGTTCTTGGTGTTTACGGTTGTGGCCATTCTCATTGCTCAATTGCCCAACCTTAACTCATTGGCTGCTGTCTCTCTCGTCGGTGCCATCACCTCCATCTGTTATTGCACCCTCTTTTGGGCTCTCTCTGTTAAGAAGGGTAGGCCCAATGGTGTATCCTACACTACATCCCTACACGAAGACTCCACTGTGGCTAAGTTCACTGACATTCTGAATGCCATTGGAATCATTGTGCTAGCATTCAGAGGTCACAATGTTTTGCTCGAGATACAGGCAAGTGTTTGATATTGAATAATAGTAATAATACATCCACTTACCCATGCATCACTTTATATTTGCATACTATCTATGTTACATGGTTTCTTCGTTCCTGCAAAGAATCTAGTATGATTACGGTTTTAAGTATAGTATCTCATACGATATATAAGATGTCACTAAGAAAAGATATTGTATATATAATTTGTACTCATTTGTAATGTCACAATTCAAAACCAGCAAAATATTGCCATTCATCATTTCTCCCTCCTATGAAATTCCCCTGCTTGCACAGCTTGAAAAATGTGGTGTAATTGAACATTTTCATGTATCTGCCAAAAAAAATAAAATTATATATGTCCAAAAATATGGCAGCTGCTGTATGATTCAAGGTATCCACACATGGATACGCAATACGATACTGGTATGCCATTGGTTTTGGAGTATCGGTGTACGTATCATATCTGCATGATGTACACCTTTGCAATTGCAACTTAAGCATTATTCTACGATGTATCAAACTATATGTTAGAGATATATAAAATCATTAATGTAGTCTAAGTTAATAGCTTAAACTTTTGAGTTGAATTGGTTCTTTAAATGATATCAGAACCTCGGTGTCCTAGGTTTGATCCTCACCACACCATTTTCTTTATGAAATTTTTTAACACCGGTAGACTATACATCATTCATTTTTCAAGCCTAATGAACTCTCTTGTGAGGGGGTGTGTTAGAGATATATAAAATCATTAATATAGTATCACCCAACAACTTAAGTTTTTGAGTTGAATTGGTTCTCAATGCTATAAATATTTTTAATTAGGTGTAATTAGGTACATGGCATAACCTCAGCTGAAGGACTGTCTTTTGGATATTGGTTTTGCAGGGGACACTGCCTTCAAATTTCAAAGAAACATCCGAAAAACCAATGCGCAAAGGAGTGAACGTTTCATATGTACTCATTGCCATGTGCATGTTTCCCCTTGCAATTGCCGGATTTTGGGCTTATGGAAACCAGGCAAGCACTCCTAGCAGAAAAATTTTTCAAACAATATTCTAAAAATTTATTAGTATCCTTTAACTGATTAATTAATTTGTATGAATGTTTCAGATACCTTCAAAAGGGTTGTTAACTGCGTTCCCACAATTCCACAGGAGACAAGTAACAAAATTCTCAATGGGTGCAATGTATCTTATGGTAATACTACATTGTTTGAGTAGCTTCCAAATCTATGCCATGCCCGTTTTTGATAACATGGAGATAAGATACACGAGTATAAAGAATCAGAAATGTCCACTATGGGTAAGAACATGCTTTCGCCTATTCTTTGGTGGGTTCACATTCTTTGTAGCGGTCACGTTCCCATTCCTGCCAAGCCTAGCAGCCCTTCTTGGAGGCATGACCCTGGTGCCGGTCACATACGCATACCCCTGTTTCATGTGGTTAGCCATCAAGAAACCTCGTACAAGGGGTGTGGTTTGGTGTTTCAACGTTGTACTCGGTTGCTTAGGAATGCTTCTCAGCGCTCTTTTGGTAGTTGCGGCTATACGGACTCTAGCTCTTAAAGGCCTAGATGCTAACTTCTTCAAACCATGATAATATCATCCACAAGTATCTAGTAAAAACTACTTACTAATTAGCAATGATTTATTTCATTTTTCTGCATATAGAATTGATTTTATTTATTACAAAAAATTCAAGTTTAGTGAATGCAAAAAGTGGCCAAACCCACATGTAAAACTAAAAATCAAAATTTTGCGACGAATAACTTTGACATGATCAAAATCTAAACCAAATAAGTACTGTATCAGCCGAAAGCCCAAACTCCTCATTTAAAATTTATAATTTTTCTTTGGGTAAACAACTTCTCCTTTCAAAGGAGAAGTTTTTTTTGGTGCAGCTGACACGTTTTTCTAGCATTGAAATATGTGATATTTTTTTTTTATTTTTTTTTCCAAAACAACTAATGGATCCACCAAAAAATGAACTTAGCTGCAAAAAAAAACTTCTCCTTCGAAATGAGAAGTTGTTTACCCTTTTTCTTTATATGGTAAACGACGACAGTTCTTGTTCAATAAATTAATTATTTTGAAATGATTGGTAAATATAGGTACACAAAATGAATAAATCTTATCGATTGAAGTTAATTTTGTTCAAACAATCTACTTAAAGAAAATATCATTGCGTTTTTTTTTTTTTTTTTTTTGCAAAAAAACATTTCTAAAACATTTTTTGTTTTTGGTGTATGAGAAATATAAGTCTTATACAATAGGAGAAGTCTCCACTTTCCAGCTAACTCAAAATGGTGTGGGACTCATTTCATTTTTTTTTTGCCTTTTTCCGGTACAGTGGGCATTTTATTATATATTACACGCCCATGGTGCCTATGTGTCTTTCACATAAGAATAATTTTCTTCAGTTGCATAAGAAAATATGCTCCCTTAATATATTAACCTTAATTACCTCTTTGACACAAGTCAATCCTTAATATTCTCATAACTTTCAATTCTTTGAGTTAAATACGAGACTAATCCTGAGTCAAGACTTAGTCACATTAAAGTTCTTCGTCTCTTTCCTTTATGAAAATTGAATTCAGATTCTCTCATCTTCTGCTCAGTCTCTCACTAACTTAGCTACTTTAATGGGATAAAACCCCTTTTTTTTTTGGGAGTACAAAAAACACTATTTTCAAACATATTCCACTGCTCAAATCTATCTGCCTTAAGGAGTTTTTGGCACGTACCCTCTCTAGCGGGACAAAGATGGCTCCTTTATCACCTAACGGTATCTCCTGCATTGAACAGACTACAAGAAGAGAAAATACAAAACTCGGAATGCACTTTTTGTTGATAACATTCTGTTTAGGGGTGTAAATGGGCTGGGCTGGGTTTTGGCCATCCTGGCCCAAGCCTATGTAAAAAAAAATTCAGCCTATCTGACCTACTGGCCTATTAAAGGCTTTATTTATAGGCCAAGTCCGACTCATTTTCAAAAATAAGAAAGCTTGACATGGCCTACAGGCCTTGTAGGCCTCCCTGTATATATACCAATCAAAAAAAATAATTATATAGAGCAAAGAAAGTTCCATTCATGCATGCACTAGTACTTCTTATAAGAAAAAAATGACAAACAAGAAAGAGTCAACATAATACATCAGCTCTAGAATGTATATCATAGAGGAATAGAGTCAAAGAAATGAAAAGATAAGAAAAATACAATTACTAGATGCTGAAATAAAGTCTACAAGAAAATGTCATTCATCTAAAAATCTTTAAACCACCATCAAGACAAGGGAAAGAAGAGTATTATTGAAAGATCTTCATCAGTAACATCATAATCCAGCAAGGTACTCATTGTTCCATGGTATTAAGCTGCAACAGCATGTAAAATTTGGAGACATCAGACAAGTTTTCCTTTCATAAAATAAAATAGCACAAAAAGTAAGAGATATTGGTATTTGGTACTTTGTGTCTTTGCCACATAAAATAAATATTATTTTATTATTTTATTTTAATAAATTAAATAGGCCAGCCTACAAGGCTGTAGACCGGGCTTGACAAAATTGGCCTATGGCCTATTTATTAAAAAAGCTTTTTTATAAGCCTAAGCCTACTCTACTTTTCTGAAAGGCCGGGCCTGAGCTGGGCTCAATGTAGGCCGGGCCGTAGGCTGGGCTGGGCCAGCCTGGCCCATTTACACCCCTAATTCTGTTACTGTCATGTGCAATAATAAATACCACATTTAATTAATTAGTTGTTCATATAAATCGAACTGGATTAAATCAAACCAACATAATTTCAAAGCAACCCATACCTTTTACCAATTTATTTAATAAGACTACCCATTTAACATGTCCAACCAGCATTCCAGTAAACATGTTACAGGCAAGCTTAACCTAATTAATATTGGCAAAGTTAGTGATCTAACTAAGAATTTGATTTCAGTAAGTAGTAAACGAGTGAGGCACAAAGTTTAATACTACAGGAGTATCGAGTGAGTTTTCCTTGCCTTGAAGAAATATTGCCTTAAAAAACTAATTGAGAGCATTTTTCCCTTTTAAGTTAAATAAATATAGCCTTATTTACAAAATAAAATAAAATAAATATATTCTTTTTTTATTATTAAAATAAGTTAATACTTTTTTAATATAATTATCTTCTAATTTAATTGTGCATTTATTTGATTTATTCTTAAATAAAAACCTTTGCAATAAATTCGCAAGCTCACCAAAAAAAAAAACTTCAAAACTCTCGCTCTCTTCTTTTCCTAAGCATTTTTATTTTTTTATTTTTCCCACGAGCTATATTTATTATTTCTTTCACAAAATTTTATAAAAAGAAAATAAACTTATAAAAAAAGGCATTTTATATTATAATCCAGAAAAACAACAAAAAATAAAAAAATAAAACATCCAAAAACAACTTGTTTCTCCTAAAGTACTTTTTTCATTATTAATTTATAAAGTGGGCTGCATTGTAACTGAAAGTTGGATAACATGGCAATTATGATATTTATGGCCGCGTTGACACATGAAATAATAATTTAAGTCTGCAGTAGGTCCATTATTTAATTGCAGACTGTACAACCACTGTTGGTCTTCGATGGCCCAAATTCCTGTTCAAATGTCATTAATTGCAATAGGTCCATCATTTAATTGCAGAATGTGCAATGGACATTATTTTCAAACATCCGCCGCTGCTCTAATTCTCTGTTTCTATTATTAATTACGATAAATTCATCATGTTTTAATTGTTAATCTAATTTATAAATATTTTTGCAAAAATTTATAAAAATAATGTAAAATTTTTGTAATTATGAATTAATTACCTGTAGCAGGACAATGATAGCAACTTCTGCATCTAACAGATTATCGTATTACACGGCAAAGAAATTACAGAACACGAAATGCAATGTGTAGCAATAACATTTGACTACTATCATATGTAGTCACCAATCTAATAAATGCAATTCATTCTAAAGTCATTTACAGCGATAAGTACACCCTTTAATGAGAGAGAAAAAAATTTCTTTTATGATTGTATATTTTCAAAAACCAATCATTCATCACCCATGGTCACTGATATACTGATATACCTCCGGCATATATATGATTTTAAGTCAAAAAGAAAAAAATCTTGATCAATCTTGGATAAAAAGAGCTATAATTGTTATTAAATTAATAAATCTCAATCAGATATCTTGTCACTGATTTTATTATATTTTTGTAGAAAAATCTTCAACTTATCTCAGAATTGTATCAGAAAGATTGGACCAAGATATATGATGAAGATTTGATCAAGATATATGATGAAGATTTGATCAAGATACAAGAAGAAGATTTGATCAAGATTTCTAAGCAAGACATAAACTCTAGAAATAGAGACTTAGACCTCAGAGCAGAAAATCTTTGGCTGGAGATAATTCTTAGAGGCTCACGCTGGAGATCAGGATTCTGACGGAGTTGAAGATCGGAGATCATTGATTCTTTTTCTTCTTCTTTATTGCTTTTATGAATTCTTTTTATTATTTTAATTTGTTTAAGCCAGCTATGTCTGGCTAGTTTGTTTATGCAGTTGGAGTTGGGATCACGGACCTAATGTGAATCCTTTATAATTTCTATATTGTTTTTATAATTTAATTAATTTGTTTGTTTTATTCTACCTGGTTTAATTTTTCATTCCTGTTTAGAATTGATCACTCTAAATTAGAGGGCTTTGAGGGTTAGAATTCACAATAGACATATTGGGGTTTTAATCTGGACAATGGTAGAATAACAATTTGTGTATGATCTAGACATAGGCTTACATAGATTGCAGACTCATAATTCATTTGCTTAATGCTTAATTCAAAAGGGATTACTAAGACATTAGAATTCTGATTGGGTTAAAGAGTTGAAATCACTAAGACATTAGTGTTCAACTATTTTATAGGAAAATAATGAATTGTCTGAACAAACGAATTAATTCAATATAGGAAAATAAGGGAGGATCAGAGGTGATGGCTACCGTCTTTTTACAATTTTCAATCAATTTCACATTTTCTTGATATTCTTGACATTCTTGATTTTCTTGCATGCATTTTTTAAATATTATTGTTTTTAAAATTCCAACACTCAATTACTTTCACAACCAAAATCAATTTTATTTTCCAACTTAAGGTGAATAGTTAAACTAGTACTTTGTGCATTAATACTCGTGAAAACGATACTTTTTTTATCACTTTATTACTTCGAACGAACGGTATACTTGCCGATTTCGCAACAGTAACATTATTCACGATGGAACGATAAGTTTTAAACAGAATTATACCGCATATTAAGCTGTAATATACATATAGATGGATGAGATTAGCAATTCCAATTCTACCACAGTTCTGGACTCTGGTCAACATTATTCACAGAGGTTAAGCCTCTAGAGCCGGGTAGGATCAGAAAGAAGGAAAGGGGTTTCTAAATGAACACAATTTACAACATTAAAATTGACACTCAGATATTTGCGGAGACCCGGCATCCATATCACATGTGAGGTTCTAGTACCAAGCAGAATCAAGGGTAACAAAAAATAACAAGAGCTAAAAATGTACGGAAACATATACCTAGAAGACCATAAGTTCGTTCAAAAAAATAACAAGAGACAAAAATGTACCAGCCATCTTTAAATGTGGAAACCCATAGCATATCTGAACAAAGGGGATGGAATAATTTAATTGTAGACACATGAATTCGTCAAATTAAGAGGTTTCCCAAGTTTGTTGCCATGCAAAGTGAGGGGACATCTGATTCTTCGATAGAATTTAGTCTTAACCAATCTTCCCAAGATGAAAGCCCTTGATCTCACTACGAATGTGAGGTTCAGTGGCAATGCAACACTTTCCATGTGCTCTTTACTATTACCAAAAACTGACACCCCACCATAGAGTGGAATCTGGTGTCCTAACACCACTACCGCTACCTTCCGCCGACTCTTCCTTGATTGATAGAATTGCTGCATCTATTTGCCAATTTACACGAGTCAATACAAAAAATATAATCCAATATTTCCATGAGAAATTAGTCAAACTAGTTGATGATGCAAATGCAGTGTGTCTAACAAAACAACTAGTAATGAATCAGAGATATTAACAACTATACAATTGAATCTAGAATAAGACTCGCGCGTCCACTCCATCTCTTGTTTCACTTTTAAAGGCAATGAAAGCATGAGAGGACTATTTGGTTGAACACCGACCAAAATGCCACTCTTCACCAAGTTTTTTATCTAAATGCCACGCGAACAGTGTTATTTTCTAATCTGCCACGGGGGCAAGTTTACTACCCGGTGTAGCGAATTCGGTTTGCTGACATGTCACATTTCTAGTGGATAACAAGTACCAAGTTAAAAAAAAAAAAGTATGGAGTTCTCTACCCCGTGTAGCGAACTTAGTGTCCACTAGAAACGTGACACATCAGCAAACCGAGTTCGCTACATCGGATAGCGAACTTGCCCCCGTGGCAGATTGAGAAATAACACTGTTCGCGTGACATTTAGGTAAAAAACTTGGTGAACCATTTTGATACTGTTCCCTATTTGGTGAAGTATAGGCAGTGTTAAAAAAACTGATGTATTTTAGAAGACAAAGTACTTTAAAAATACCGATAATAAGATTTGAACCTAGACCACTTGAATTATAACTTATTCACTTATCACTAAACCAACTCTAATTATTAGTTAAAATACTTCTAATTTTATATTTCATTATATATATCTAATTCATATGGTTGAACCAGTTACTTACTGGTTAAACCGGTGACCCAATAATCCAGTATCCGACCACGTCGATAACAGGTCCCAATTTGATAACACTGCTTATAGGTCAAGGTTAATCCCGTAAGGACAATAAAAATAATTTATAGCTTGTGATGTATGATATATATTTGTTCTTCACCTAACACTTCCCCCCAATACATCCTTTGCATCAAAGAACAAAGATACATATTCGCAAACTAATAGCTAATGAATTTGATAGATCCTATACATAGAGGATCAATCATGAAAATTAAAGTTATAAACAAATTTTTTTTGTGTGTGGAATAATCTGGATCCAGAATTAATTTAGTTATAAAGATGTGATTACTTAAATGTGCGTAAGGCCGTTAAAATGTATCAAAAATTGTACAAGGTTATTGAAGTAAACGACAAACCAAACTTAAGTATGCTGCTGCCTGTAGCTCGAGGCATTGTTATTTTTGCGAATGATTTATTATATCATATAAGTTTGTAATTACCAAGTAGCAGTTAGAGAATGGCATGTTGTGGGTATCGAGAAAATCCGTGAGAGGTGGTACAGTGAGTATCCAATTACCGTGATGAATTGAGCATTGCCTTTGCAAAAAAGTCTCGGGGAATTGATCAAAATAATTAGCTTTTATAAAAACAAAACAAAAAAAGTATAAAACTTGTGGGTTGTACTACTGTGAGTCTGTGACCTTGGGCTATATCGCTATTGGTATGGAGAAAATCAACAATTCTAATGCAATAAAATTTCTGTGAAGTCACGTGAGAGGTAAGGTGGGTGCCTGCCAATTACATTGAGGGCTATGCAATAAAGTCTCTGTGGGAATTCATCAAAAGAATCAATTTTTCTAAATAAAAAAAAAAATAGTATAAAACTTACAGTTTGGTCCCCACAACTAGGATGATGGTAGAGAGCAGGAGAAGCAGCTTTTAAACACAAGCTTATAAAGAGGGACCAATAAAATTGAACTCGTTCAGTATGTCTGTGCTACCCACAGACTCTTTCTGGCCTCGAAAGGATGCATACATTAGTCCCTTCCTCACATACCCAAGCATGCATGCAACCCTTGGACGCTGCGAAACCACTATCTTGGATTTCTTGCCCTCTATGCTCACTTTATATAGCTATAAAGCCGGGTTTTATTATTTTTTTTCCCTCGTTAATTATTTAATAATTATTTTGTCTCTTATTGCAAACTATCTATCAATTTTCTCCTCTTTAATCGATTGAATTGAATATTTAATTGATTAAACGGTCAAATGAAAATTTAATCAATTAAATCTTCAACTTAATCGATTAAATCTCCCTGTTTATCAGAAAAACAACCTTATGCATGAGAGATTTAATCGATTAAATAGGAATATTTAATCGACTAAATCTTCAAGTCAACAATTTTTGCCTATTTTGACCATTTAATTGATTAAATTTTTGACTTAATCAATTAAAGAGAGACAGATTAGTAAATAATTCTGAATCAGGAGCAAAATAATTATTAAATAATTAATAAGTAACAAAAGGGTGAAAAAAGCCTATAAAGACTTTTTCTTTGTTTTTAAAGTTTAAAAATGCACCAAATAAATCAAGGGTCAGATCAAAGCTAAGCTACACTATTTTTTATTTATTTTTAACTGAAACTGACTCAAAATTTAACGATTTAGATTTGAATCTTTTTATAATCACTCATTAATTATAAAATAAAAAAAATAAAATATATAAATTTTAAATAAATAATCGCAATCAAATAACATAAATACGTGTTAAAAAAAGTATATAACTTTTTCATACGCGAGAGAATCCAAATTTAATATAGTAGAAAGGAATTGAAATTTGAAATAGAAAAGAAAGTAGGTACCTGGCCAGAGGCTAGAGTGAGCTGGTAATAGCTAAGCTGAAGAGGGGTTGAAGTGACGTGAACGCCGAAGAAAGTAGCAGGATTTGTGTACAAGATCCTCACCGTTGAGTTCAACGACAGCATATCTGTTGGTACCCCTGATCCATCATTCCCCGATTGTACGTACAAGTTCTCGAACACTATATTCTGCCCCCAATTTATTTTAAAAAAAAATAAAATTACATAAGTTATTATTTTCCAAATAAAACAAAAGAATTTGAAGAAGACTAATAATCAGGGAAAGGCCCCACAATATTAAATTCTGAGAAATTGTTGATTGCAGCATCCAATCCAAACAAGGAAATTATTTCTCCATTTACTCTCAATCTCAAATGAAATAAAATATGGAAACAAAATTAAATGTGGCAGTCTCCAGAGAGAGAGAGAGAGAAGAGGGCAGTTTTGGAATTTCGCCACATGATCACTTCCCCTTCTCTCTGAAGAGCTGAAAGTTTTAACTGAAAACACAAAAGGAAAGAAAGAATCCAATGGCAATGTACGAGGCACTAACGCATAAGAAAATAAATTTATAAAAAATAAATTTAAAAAAAAAGTGAGCAATAAAACCGAGTCACACAGAGTCAACTCGGATGGATGGTTACCTTAACGATGACTCGAGGCTTGTAACTCTTGCTGGCACCCCAGAGAATCAAAGAGAAGACGGTGAAAAGCAGCACGAAAAGCAGGAAGAAGCCAAAGTAGAGGCGAACGTTGCGGGTTGAGTCATGAACGGCGTCGCCGTCGTCGTCGTCATCGTCATCGTCGTCAAGTTGGTGGTTGTGGAGTTTTTTCCAGGAGGAGGGTTGGCGAGGGTTCTTGAGCGAGACGGAGTAGCGAGAGGTGGAGGATTCACGGGAATGGTGAATGGGAGAGGAGTGGTAGTAATGGAACTGTTGATGGTGAGGAGAACCAACTGGGCTTGAAGCGTATGACATTTTCTCAACGTCGTGGTGGGAAGGGCTCTGCACGTAGTAGAGTGGCCGCCGGGGAGGGGAGCGCGGCGGCGACGACGACGACTGATCCATGCTATTACAAGTCACCTCCGAGTCCGATTTCGTGTGCATTTTTCCTCCCATTCCTCTCTTTCTCTCTCTCTCTCTCACAGAGACACACTGAAGAACCAAACACAAGGGGAACACTTTATAATATTTAACAGAATAAAATTAAAATCAATATCGCCGTTCCCCTATTTAGTATTATTTGATATTAAATATATTAGATTTTTTTAAATTGAATTCTGTGTGTGGAGGTGGATTTCACTTTCGGAAATAAATCTTTTCATATATGAATAAAATAAAAAAATATAACGGGGGGAATGGAAACTATCTTTTGTGACACTCGTGATTTTTATTTCCCCTCTGTCCTGTAACAAATATATTAAACATAACAGATTTTAGTTTATTAAAATTTAAGATGTTTTATTTCCCCTTTGGTACTACTGTCATTATTGGCTAGGACTCTCCTTAAAAATAAAATTATATATTATATATTTTACAAAATATTTAATTATATTTTTCTTTCTTTTTAGAAAATATTTCAACTGACATGTTTTGCTCCTATTGATTTTTTCCTTTATTGGATACTTAATTATTTACATGATTTTATTGTGTAAAGATTTAACGTGAAAGTATTTTTTTTATATGTTCGTTGATTGATTGATTATTTTTTTCGTATCTCAAATTATATATATTTTTTATACTCAAATAAATGATTAATTTATTTTGTAAAAATTGTTTTATTTTTTGTCAAACAAAAATAAATTAATATATTTAATTTATTAAGAGAATCAAATTCATATGTAATTTTAAAAAATTAAATAAAATAATAAAATAAATTTAAAATAAAGACAAAATGACCGATCAACCATTTTTGGTTTGGTTGGTCGATGAGGAATAAATGTTTCATTTGAAGTGAAATATTTTTATTTCAAAAGTTGTTTTCTGAGATAAATTATGTTAGTTTTATATAAGACTGGTATGCTAGATATATTTAATAACTCATTTGCAAACCATAGTGCAAGTATTACAATTTTTTACCGGTTAAAATTATATTATTTTACATAAATTAAAATTTTATTTTTTATTTTTAAAAAACCTGTTTCTTATATAATCAAATTAAACTCGCAATAACTATAATATTTTCAATTAAACATTTAAAATGGAATTATTTTTACTATTATAGTTTTTGTTTAAAAAACTTATTTATTTTACAAGGCAATTCGAAATAGGAAAATTATATGGCGAATGGCGAAGGGTATACCAACTGAGAAGGTCTAGCATATTTGTATGTCATAATTTTTGTTCTAGAGTATGTTTGACTTTTTTTGGCTCTCTACCAATGGCTTATTTGTAACGCTGCATTGTTCTAGTTGAAAACAAGTTGAATTTATTGTGTCGTGTTTACCCTTTGCCCAACGTATATTTAGAGGTGGTGTTTCAGGGGCACTGATGGAATAGGATGCAGTTTAACCCCATTTTATTAGGAAAATATGTTTTTCAAATAGTATGAAACAATTTATCTTATACAACAGACAAAAAAAATAGGTAGTATTCACTAAGAAAAAAAAAGAGTAAGTAAAAAGTGGGTGACATTTTATGTGTTATAAGAATAAAATTATTTCATGCAATAAAAAAAATATATTTTTATTTTTATTATATGGAAAAAATTACTCTTATGCAACATAAGTTTATCTCTAATAGATCCATTGAAAACCATGACACACTTTTTCCTTTTTTTCTTTTGTAAATTATGAGTCGCGCCACACGTATATTTATAACATGAAAAAAGATCTCTCATGTAACATGAGATTAGATTAATCCTTGTTATATTTGAATGGTTAAGAATGCATCAGTACACTTCGATTGGGGGGCGACCCTCACCAATTTTTTTTTTTGGTAACATCCCCTCACCAATTTTTAACATTGTAGTTTACAGTTTTGTGCCGGCAATATATACGTTTGAATATAGAGACGAACGCGGTTTATAAGAATGGGAAATGAACCCAATGGATCCTTTTCAGGTGCGATTGTGGTCGTCGAACCTCTTCCATTTCGATATTAGGTCCACAGCTATCGTAACAGAATTAGAGTCAATCTTCTCTCGATTATTTATTGTGAATCGGGACAACTATTTTTTAAGTCATTTCTTAGTGTAAATAGAAATGTAAAATTAGAAAAGACGGAAAGTAACAGGGATAAAAAGAGAAAGAAAACATTAATGATGTGAGATGGAGCACCAAAAGATTCAGTGGTTCTGGATCATATTAAATATTTCCCAATCAATTATTCTTTCTTTTATTTCATTTAGTTTTCTCTTTCTATTATCATTTCGATACTAGGTACATAGCTATCGTACTATGATTAATGTAAATCAATTATTCTTTCTTTTATTTCTTTTAATTTTCTTTTTCTATTGCCCTTTCTTAGGTCTTATAGAATATGAGTCCCTCATTCAGGTTCACAACACCTTTATTTTTTCAAGTTTATATTTTCGTTTTCTACGAAGCAACTTACGCAAATCTTCTTCTCTTGTTGTTTTTGTTTGATCTTGTAATTGCTTTTTTTCTAATGGTTCTCCCAAGGTGTCTCGCCATCTCTTTAGTGGTTTTCTCCTTCAGTGTGATATTGATAAACAATGGAGTTGAAGCGTTTCATAAAGTATACTCTCATCTTTAATCTCTTACAGCAATTTTCGTGAGTGAACAACACAGAACTGGATAACATTTTCAACATTCTAAGAACAGGATTAACGGTTGGTAACGTCTTAATTTTTTATACTATTTTTAACATTGTCATATTTACAGCATATTGAGAGTAGTATCTTCCTTATAAATATACATGATGACATAACTTGCTTCTCAAATTTGTATTTCATTATTTATAAATTGTTATATCAGAATTATCAATAATGCTAACTTTGCTTTCTAATCCTTTCATGGTGCCTAAATTGTTATATCTGATTAGGTACTTAACTGAACATCAAGTTGTCTTACCCACTATGTTGTGTGCACATGAATTTCGTATCCCACATATTTTTTTCACTAGCAGAATTTTTTATTTTTTTCCCCACCGCTACTTTATGGGGATGGAATATGTCATAATTTATCTCCCAGTTTTTTTCCCACCTAATAAGCCGCGTTGCTTTCAAATAATCTTAATCTATTGTGAAATTAAAATGACTCTAGCAACATATATAGTGGATTTTGCTTTAGAATTGGCCCTATAATGTCTACATTATTATTTAGGAACAATTTATATTTAACTCTTGGTTACCTTGCTTAAAACGGGTTTTCCTTGATTTGTTGGTGGATTGTTGTTCGAACTGTTTTAGTTTGCTTCAGAGAATTAGTTTCCTCATAATTATCAATAATGCTAACTTTGCTTTATAATCCTTTCATGGTGCCTAAATTGGTGAAATGGATGCATAAATCACATTCAGATCCAAATGGTGAGTGGAAATTTATTTTTTCTTATTTTTTTTAATTTCGTTTCACTCACCAAATATTTGTATTTTACAATTTATATATTAATTCGAAAATGCAAACAATACAGGACCCATGTATTACAATGGATATTACCACCTGTTCTATCGATATAACCCCAAAGGAGCTATGTAAGGTGATATTGTGTGGGCCCACTTTGTATCAAAGGATCTTATCAACTGGAAAGCACTTGAACCCGCTATTTATCCATCCAAACCCTTTGACAAATTCGGGTGCTGGTCCGGGTCAGCCACTATCCTCCCGGGTAAGGGACCCGTGATCCTCTACACAGGAATTATAGACAAGAATAACACTCAGGTCCAATATTATGCCTTACCAGAAAATGCATCAAACCCGCTTCTTAGAAAATGGATAAAACCCAATCAGTTCAATCCAGTTGTGGTTGCAGAACCCGACGTGAATGGCAGCGCGTTCCATAGAAGAAATTCAGTTACCAGGAAAAAAATGATGAATTTTTTTTTCCTTTATTGGATACTTGTTTATTTACATGATTTTATTGTGTAAAGATTTAACGTGATTTTTTTTTTATATTTTCGTTTATTGATTGATTATTTAATTCGTATCTCAAATTATATTTTTTTATGGGAAAACATTTTTTCACGTCGTATGAGAGTTGTTTTCTCCTACTAGTGACTCTTCGATTTCCGTGCAATATTTTCTTTTCTTTTTTTATTTTTTTAATAGATGTGGGTCCCACATAAGATGTGTCTACAACATGAGAAAATTGAAACCCTTTTTTTATATACTCAAATAATTTATTCATTTATTTTGTAAAAATAATTTAAAATTTGGTAAAACAAAAATAAATTAATATATATAATTTAATAAGAGAATCAAATTCATATATAATTTGAAAAAATTAAATTAAATAATAATATAAATTTAAAATAAAGACGAAATGACCGATCAACCGTTTTTGGTTTGGTTGGTCGATGAGGAATAAATGTTTCATTTGGAGTGAAATATTTTTATTTCTAAAGTGGAGTGGATGGATAAATTTTTTTTCATAAAAAAAGTATTTTACAATGCTTTTTTAAGTGGAGCACATTGGTTTTTCATGGTTGATTTTCTCTTTTTGATTTTTGCTCGGCACTTTACAAATTGTCTTGATTTTGTAGCATCATTTGTGACTTGTTGCATTTTGTTTCATTTTAAATTTGTCTTCCATTTCTAGCTTACTTGTTGAGTCATATTATACTTTATTATTATCAAAACTTAATATTTTACATTTCATGTACCCTTAGAGTTTTGATCATATTATTTTTACTAGATTCACATAACTGCGTTCAACACATTGGTCGGGTGAATTTGAGGTTTATTGACCTAACACTAAATAAATATCACAAATGACTAATTCTTATTAAAGCAAAGAGAAGTTATATACGATAGTTGATGGAGATGATAATTGTACTTAACAATCCCCGAAATAATAATAAAGAAATTTTGGGGTCTAATTTCGTGGTCCATGTAGAATTCAAGCGCATATTATTGATTTTATTATATTATTATGTTTTTATATTTTTATTGATTATTTTAAAAATTAATAATATTAATATTTTCAATATTAATTTATATTAAGAAATATTGATTCGGGTTTTTATCCATATTAATATTTTCTAAGTTAATTCAATATCAAATTAATAAGAATTCTTTTGTATTTGAATTAATGAGAATTTTCTTATATTTTAAATTGGTTTTATTGGATTATTTGTTTTCTTATACAATGTCAAACTAGTTGATTACCCGTGCGATGCACGGGAAAAAAAAATCGGTTTGTTTGTCCCGTAAACGAATTAATAAGAAAACCGGTTTGTTCGTATGACATAAACGTGTAACTTTTAAGGTAGGAACAAAAAAAAAAGAATTTAATAATTTAAACACAGTAAATTCCATGGTTGTCAGCAAAATCTCCATTAAAAAAATATAAAGGTAGTATTTGTAACGCAACCATTTTCATCAAGTATCAGCATCTTCAATCAATGTATGCTCTTTACTCTAGATAGTGCCACATATAATTGCCCATGAGTGAAGACAGACCTAGGAAGATAAATGCCAACATGAGACAGCGACTGTCCTTGACTTCTGTTGATAGTCATCGCAAACGAAACTACCAAGGGGAATTGTCTTCTTTTGAAGTTTACTGGAAATGTATGACCCGATGGGCTGATCGTCATTCTAGGGATTAACACAGTATCTCCTATATTGTTTCCTGTAAGAACAATTGCCTCAACAACATGATTCCCCAACTTTGTAATAAGTAATCTCGTACCATTGCATAAACCTCTTGATTGATCAATATTTCTCAATAGCATCATCGGTACTTTAACCTTCAAAGTTAATTTATGATCAAGAATCCCCGAACATGAGAATGTATTTAAGATATCAGGGGAGATTTCGTCATCCTCAAGAGATGAATTACCGTCTTGTTTCAAAACCTTATCTGAACTCAATAATGTCCTTTCTTCACCCGGAATCACAGCCATTAGGTGCTCGTTTAACATGGCAACATCGGACAATTTAGGAATCAGAAGAGCACGTTCTTTAAAGAAAGTAGGATCTAATATATTATCCATCAGATTCGGGTAAACAAAATCAACAATATCTGAAAGTGGGTATTCTGAACCTTTGATCAACAATTCATCCGGAATTGTTATAATAGATTCTCCATCAACATCATCCCCAAGATCACCATCTCCTATTTTGAGCAACCACTCAGAAAATTCTTTTATTTCCAACAAATTATTAGTGCTACTTCCAGAATTGAGACGCATGTTCTTGGTCAAAGATAACAGATGACAATGGGACCACAAATAGGAAGAATTGATGGTTGCATGAACTATATCTTGTCTACTGCCATTTGGAATGACAGGTAATATTTGCCGAAAGTCACCTCCTAGAACGACAACTTTTCCACCAAAGGGCATATCAACACAGCTAAGAACATCTCTAAGTGTTCTATCAAGAGCCTCAAAGCAAAATTTGTGTACCATCGGTGCTTCATCCCAAATGATTAACTTTGTTTTTGACAACAACTCTGCTAAAGTAGAATTTTGTTTTATATTACATGTTGAATCTTCGGTGATCTGTATAGGAATACGAAATCTAGAATGTGTCGTACGTCCTCCAGGAAGAAGAAGTGAAGCAATTCCGCTAGAAGCAATTCCGCTAGAAGCAACATTAAGCACTATTTCAGCTCGAGATCGAACAAATGCTGACAGGGTGTTCCAAATAAATGTTTTTCCAGTCCCACCAAAGCCGTACAGGAAAAAAAATCCTCCTTTACCTGTCGAAACAGCTGAAATTATTTTGTCATAAACAACCCTTTGCTCATCAGTGAGTGAATTCAGTAGTCTGTCATGCTCTTCTTTCAAAGAGAAATTGTCATACAACAATTCATCCATCACCAATCTATTCTGCATATCCAATAAAGATTCACCCATGATGCTCGGCATGGATGGGTAATCAGAGAAGCATTTACCGTTGCTTTGCAACACCTTATCGATTTCTGCCAGGGTTATGTTTTTTATAGAATCCTCTGTAAGCAAAGCATCTGAAAAAAATTGAAAAATACAAAAAAAAGGATTAACAAAGACAAAGTTGGTGAGGAAAGAAAAATAAAGCAAAATTATGAACAAAGCAGAGGGTGTGAAACATAACGAAAATTTTTAACCAAATATTAAGAATAGGACAGTGTATAATGTATAGATGTAATTTTATTATGAAGGAACAAAAAATGCTCACATTTTTTCGAAGGTCAAGTGAATTAAACATAAGCAAACTGTTTGCATAAATAAATGCACGATACAGAACGACAAGAATATTAATTATAGTGCACAATACACATAAATGAATGCACAAAATTTGTTCCGGACAATTACCTTCACGTCCAATTCTTTGCCTATGCCGATAAAGAACATCGTCAGATAGTAATTCCCAGCATTTTTGGAAAACATTTTCAGGCCTGTTCATTGAGTTACCAAATAATAATAAGGCAAACAGATTTCTTAGATAAGTTGCTGACCCCCAAGAACTTGCCTCCTTAATTGCATCAATGTACTCATTGTCATCATCCAAAAGCCCCAAAGAATAACAGGCATCCTTATATGTAGGAAAAAGCACCCCATTGACCGTTCTCAAATCTTCATAACTTGTACAACCCTTTTGAAAATTAAGTAAAGTTCAGAGATTAGAATCTTCTCCATTATTGGCAGAAAAATGATTTATTCTTCCAATTGAAAATCCTTGTTTTCTGGGATGCCATTCATGCGTACTTTTTTTATATACAAATTGAGTTGGATACTCTGCATAAGTAAGATTCCTACCTTCTGGATATTTTTTATTTGCATCCATCCAAGACTCGAACATTGATTGTCTAGACTCTGTCCTAGTCTTGACATCGGTTATTGAAGCATGATCACTAAAAACAACGCTTTTTTCATTGGGTAGGTGAAATGGCAATCGCTGAACAGGGGGAATCTGTAATGAATCTCAAATCCGAATATTCTCCAAGCAGCTGTTTAATTACTTATTCGGTAATTTAATTAAATATATGTTTTGCTTTTTGAGGGAGTAGAAGTCATTTCATCAATGCGTCAGCAATTTCTGGTCATGAAAGACAAATGTCATTATCTGTTTCAACGTTTAAAAACAAAATAACTATATAATAAAAAATGTAGGCGTTTCGAGCTTCAGATGCTTCCTGGTTCTTCGCGTAAAGATTAAAATTCAATTTTTAAAAGAAATTTTTTTCCCACCATCCATATTTAAATTTAAAATTTTAAACCATTTCAAATTTCAAATTTCAGATCAGACGACCAATTCTAACATAAAAAGCAATTAAAACACCTGATTATCCAATTAAAATTTCAAATATCAAAACCATATTTATTTATTAATTATTCTTTTATGTCTGCCACCACAAATGGTCATTTAAGTATTCGATTTAAATTTTAAAATTCAATTTTTAAAAGAAATTCTTTTCCCACCATCTATATTTAAATTCAAAATTTCAAACCATTTCAAGTTTTGAATTTCAGATCAGACGACCAATTCCAACATAAAAAGCAATTAAAACACCTGATTATCCAATTAAAATTTCGAATTTCAAAACCATATTTATTAATTAATTATTGTTTTATGTCTGTCACCACAAATGGTCATTTAATTATTCGATTTACAAATTAAAATTGGATTTTTAAAAGAAATTCTTTTCCCACCATCCATATTTAAATTCAAAATTTTAAACCATTTCAAATTTCGAATTTTAGATCAGATGACCAATTCCAACATAAAAAGCAATTAAAACAGCTGATTTCTTTTTGAATACCAATGTGATGGGTAGTGAGACATTCAATGCCTTGTCTGCCACCACAGATGGTCATTAAAATATTCAATTTAAAAAATTAAAATTCGATTTTTTTAATAAAAAAAATTCCCACCATCCATATTTAAATTCAAAATTTTTAACCATTTCAAATTTCGAATTTTAGATCAGATAACGCATTCCAACATAAAAAGCAATTAAATCAGCTGATTACTTTTTGGATACCAATGTGATAGGCACTGGGACATTCAATGTCTTGTCTGCCACCACAAATGGTCATTTAATTATTCGATTTAAAGATTAAAATTCTATTTTTAAAAGAATTTTTTTCCCACCATCCATATTTAAATTCAAAATTTTAAACCATTTCAAATTTTAAATTTCAGATCAGACGACCAATTCCAACATAAAAAGCAATTAAAACACTTGATTATCCAATTAAAATTTTGAATTTCAAAATCATATTTATTAATTAATTATTCTTTTATATCTGCCACCACAAACGGTCATTTAATTATTCAATTTAAAAATTAAAATTCGATTTTTAAAAGAAATTCTTTTCCCATCATCCATATTTAAATTCAAAATTTTAAACCATTTCAAATTTCGAATTTCAGATCGGACGACCAATTCCAACATAAAAAGCAATTAAAACACCTGATTATCTAATTTGTTTTGTCTGTCAGCTCTCTTGATTCTTGATTGTAATGATATTTGAATCAAATATATAACAAAGATAATGTCTTTGTTATATCATTATTGTGTATATATTATTTAAAAAATAACCATAACGAAATTGTGAATTGAATGACAATCAGGTCTTCAACAATTGTGAAATTTGTTTTTGTTTCTATTGATCTCCATGAATAGAGATCGTGAATGCATGTCCGTGAAAAGAGTTTTCTTTTTATTGAATTTAAAATTTCGAATTTCAGATTGTGCAAAATAAATACATAATTTCAAAATTTAATTGATAAACCATTTAAAATTTCGAATTTCAGATGAGATGACCAATTCCAACATAAAAAGCAATTAAAACAGCTGTTTTCTTTTTGGATACCAATGTGATGGGCAGTGGGACATTAAATGCCTTGACTGCCACCACAAATGGTCATTAAATTATTCGATTTAAAGATTAAAATTCGATTTTTAAAAGATATTCTTTTCCCACCATCCATATTTAAATTAAAAATTTTAAACCATTTCAAATTTCGAATTTCAGATCAGACAACCAATTCCAACATAAAAAGCAATTAAAACACCTGATTATCCAATTAAAATTTCGAATTTCAAAACCATATTTATTAATTAATTATTCTTTTATGTCTGCCACCACAAATGGTAATTTAATTATTCGATTTAAAAATTAAAATTTGAATTTTAAAAGAAATTATTTTCCAACCATCCATATTTAAATTCAAAATTTTAAACCATTTCAAATTTCAAATTTTAGATCAGATGACCAATTTCAACATAAAATGCAATTAAAACAGCTGATTTCTTTTTGGATGCCAATGTGATGGGCAGTGGGACATTCAATGCCTTGTCTGCCACTACAAATGGTCATTAAATTATTCGATTTAAAAAATGAAAATTCGATTTTTAAAAGAAATTTTTTTCCCACCATCCATATTTAAATTCAAAATTTTAAACCATTTCAAATTTCGAATTTTAGATCAGATGACGCATTCCAACATAAAAAGCAATTAAATCAGCTGATTATACAATTAAAATTTCGAATTTTGAAACTTATTAAACAGCTGATTATCCAATTACCGGATTAACCACATATTTATCATTCCAATAAAACAATTGAAAATATTGTGGAAAATAACTAATGACAAACAGATAAACTTGTATTCCAGAATATGCATAAACATTACTTTGTCTACAGGAACGCTCCTATTTGAAGTTAAACACGGAGGAAGTGATTACCAAAACACAGCAATAAAAAACTACAATTATATTGTTCAATCCCAAACAATCTCCAAAACAAAAAACAAAAAACTTTCAAGTGACGTTGTTCCAGCTTCCAAGTGACATTGTTCCAGCTACGCGTCTTTCAGAACAGCATCAAATCTAAACAGAAACAAAAAAATAACGACGTATTAACAGACACATCACACTCACGATTATAAATAAAAAAAAGCTACACAAAGAAAAAAAATAATGGGTAAGTACTCAACTCTTTCTCTAGCTTAATCTTCTTAGGAGGACGGACAACTGATGAATTAAAATCGTCTTGAAGGGGATCATTAGGATTCATTAACGGCGTCAGCATTGATAGCGAAATATCACCAACGTCTGCACTATCACACGTCTGACTTTCCACATCCTTGTCAGAAACAAATATTGTTTGAAATTAACTTATGTTTTGCAATAAAACTGCATGCAACATTTTTTTGATTAATTCATAAGCAATAATTTCGAGATACCGTAGCTCTTTCCGGTTCTGCTGATGCAACGACACTGTCGCAAGCCTTGTCAAATAATCCTTCATCCTGCATTTAAAACAAATATTTTGAAAAAAATCAAATCCATTGAAACGCAGAATGAGAACAGCAAAACCTAAATAGAAATAATAATGTTAATAAAAAAATAACTCACATTCGTATCCACAACAGTCTTAAGGAAGGATGTGATTACAGGTTCGCTTATACATACTTTAGAAATCTGATACCTAGGCTCACTGTATGAGTCCAAATTATTTTTTTTCACATTCACTTTAAACAACATGGATTTATCAATAAGAACATTAAGTTCCTTAGGATAGTGCTCGAAATCATCACCCTGCAAAAAAAATATTAATGAAATTTTAATAAGAACTTTAAATGAATAAAAAAATGAGTGGAATAAGAACACAAACCCTTTTGAAATGCTGCTCACGTAAATCCGCAGCACTCATGCCCAACAAAGCAACACAGTCTCTATCAAACAGAATGAAAGATGCAGAATCAGTGTGATCCACAACTCTCAACTGCACACAAAATCTGCAACACATGACCACCGATTGTGTTATTTATAAATAAAATGAACGATCTAATAATAACAACAAAACAAAAATAGATATAAAATCTTACTTTGGATAATAATCATCAAAATGTTTTTGGCAGTTTTTACAATACCATTTCTCGAAATCTTCATAAACAGAATATGGACATTTATTACAGGACTTGTACCACCATTTATATTTGCTCTCAATCGATTTTATGGTTCCATAAGTAATGCAAGTAGTAACCTCACTGCAATTCTTAACATCACTGATACACTTCCTTTCCGTCTCTTTCAGGAAATCATTCTCAAAAGAATATGAGGACTGACTTGATAACTGAGACAACGTGTAACCGCTATCAATGACATCAGACGAAAGCCTAAAAAACAACAACATTACAAATAATCAGCGATAAATAATAAAGAAAAGAGCAGAATAATGGAATAACAACAGCTCGCACCTTTTTTTGAAGTCGACAATCTCTGGTACACTGGGACCGATAATTATCCTCGTCGTATACTTTGTATTTGTTATTCCAATTTTTCCTTTAAAATTTATTATTAATTTCAAAACCATAAGGAGGGAAATAAACTAAAACATTCCATTATGAAATCATAATCAAATATTTATGTGAACTCACCCCTGAAACCCTTTATTCTAGCAAGCTAAACTATCATCACGTTTGGAGGAGATTGATTACTCCCCAAAATTTGTTGCACCTGGTCCACGTAGTCCTCCCAGAGAGTGCACTCGAGCTTGTGACCCCTACTTGCACAGTTTTTGCAACAAATCACAAAATAGAATTTTACATCAAATGAACATAACACATAACAAATAACCAATAGATACCTGAGGTTATCAAGCTCCACGACAACCATTTTTGTCTTCCTACCGGAGATAATATGCTCACGAACTTCCCCTATTCCAGAAACTAAACCGATGACATCTACACATTAAGGATGGTTAGACAGATGATATTGTCACACAAACAACAAAAGCATGACTTAGTGGACAGTTCAAAATCTACAAACCTACTAAATAAGGGGAATCAGAAGACTCTTTCTCTATAACGTCAAAATCTACAAAATCAAATCCATTGGTGGGAATAGCAGAATCAATAGTGGATTTTACATCAGTCCTCAAGTTGAAGGACAAACGATAATCATGCTTAGTTGGCCTAAAACTCCCACTATTCAAACCAACTCCAAAAAATTTTATGAAATAAACTTCTTCATGAATTTTGTTACGGATATTTAAAGAACCCTTGATAGCAGCGTGGACCCTTCCACCCTACAAAACACATGCATAGATTAGTACATTTTAAAAACATGGACCGCAAACCAACAGTAATATCAAAAACAAAACAAAAACAAATACCTTTTCATCTAACAGAATCATCTTTACGTTGTCGTCAAAAAAAATTTGCTGAAAATTAGGAACCTTCCATGTTCTAACAACTCTAGCCTTAATCCTCCACTCCTCCTTAGAAGGATTAAGATCCTTAATAAAATCATACTTGGTATACATAACCAAACGTATATCAGGTAATATTGGCTCAAAGCCTTTGAGGACAAAGAAAAGAACGAAATAGAGACGCTTCCAAATACCTATTTATACACGAATATGCACTATTCGAATTAAAAATGGTCATTTAATTATTCGATTTAAAAAATTAAAATTAGATTTTTAAAAGAAATTTTTTTTCCCACCATCCATATTTAAATTCAAAATTTTAAACCATTTCAAATTTTGAATTTTAGATCAGATGATGCATTCCAACATAAAAAGCAATTAAATCAGCTAATTTCTTTTTGGATACCAATGTGATGGGCAGTGGGTCATTCAATGTCTTGTCTGCCACCACAAATAGTCATTTAATTATTCGATTTAAAGATTAAAATTTGATTTTTAAAAGAATTTCTTTTCCCACCATCCATATTTAAATTCAAAATTTTAAACCATTTCAAATTTCGAATTTCAGATCAGACGACCAATTCCAACATAAAAGGCAATTAAAACACCTGATTATCTAATTTATTTTGTCTGTCAGCTCTCTTGATTCTTGATTGTTATGATATTTGAATCAATTATATAACAAAGATAATGTCTTTGTTATATCATTATTGTGTATATATTTTTTTTAAAATAAGCATAACGAAATTGTGAATTGAATGACGATTAGGTCTTCAACAATTGTGAAATTTGTTTTTGTTTCTATTGATCTCCATGAATAGAGATCGTGAATACATGTCCGTGAAAAGAGTTTTCTTTTTATTGAATTTAAAATTTTGAATTTCAGATTGTGCAAAATAAATACATAATTTAAAATTTTAATTGATAAACCATTTAAAAATTTCGAAAATTCAATTTTTAAAAGAATATTGGTATGATAGTTTATCTGATAGAGTTTTCTTTTTATTGAATTTAAAATTTCGAATTTCAGATTGTGCAAAATAAATACATAATTTCGAAATTTAATTGATAAACCATTTAAAATTTCGAAAATTCAATTTTTAAAAGAATATTGGTATGATAGTTTATCTGATATGATAGTTTTGGTTTTGGGATTTAATTTATTTTGTCTGCCAGCTCTCTTGATTCTTGATTGTTATGATATTTGACTCAAATATATAACAAAGATAATGTCTATATAACAAAGATAATGTCTTTGTTATATCATCATTGTATATATATTTTTTTTAAAATAACCATAACGAAATTGTGAATTGAATGACGATCAAGTCTTCAACAATTGTGAAATTTGTTTTTGTTTCTATTGATCTCCATGAATAGAGATCGTGAATGCATGTCCGTGAAAAGAGTTTTCTTTTTATTGAATTTAAAATTTCGAATTTCAGATTGTGCAAAATAAATACATAATTTCGAAATTTAATTGATAAACTATTTAAAATTTTGAATTTCAGATGAGATGACCAATTCCAACATAAAAAGCAATTAAAACAGCTAATTTTTTTTTGGATACCAATGTGATGGGCAGTGGGACATTCAATGCCTTGACTGCAACTATTATTCGATTTAAAAATTAAAATTCAATTTTTAAAAGAGTTTTTTTTTTCAATTTACCCAATAAAGAAAGTTTGTATGTAACCAAATTGTAGAATTAACCAAGGAGTGACACTTGGCAAAACTTTCCAGCATTGAACTCTCCTTTATATATATATATATATATATATATATATATATATATATATATATATATATATATATATAATAAATATTCCACTATAACAAAATAACTTCTTTATAAGTTTTTTTTTATGCATTGAAATAAAAGACAGAAAGCAAAGAAAAAGAAAACAAAAAAAAATTGGACAGAAAAGCTCATAGCGAGTCTGCGCACGTCTACCAAAATTCACTCCCCTACTGTCAACCTGTAGATGACACCATAATTCGAAGGTCAAAGAAGTGTGCCTTATCAGGTAACTCCAGGTGCACCAATAAATAGTTTGCCAACCAATTTGCACATTGATTGCCTTACCGAAGAACATGCATAAACTGAGCATTCCATTGACGACTAACAAATGCTCGTATTCGAGTCATTATGTGGGACTCACAAGCTTCATTGTCTTCCTTAGAAAACAATGCAATGATTGATTGACAGTCACTTTTAACCAATGTTTTAAAACCCGGCTCGAACCGGCCGGGTTGACCCGGCAACCCGGTGACCCGGTTGACCCGGGTTAGACTGGATATTCCCCTTCTTCTTTTTTGGTAAATTTTGTTTTTTTTATAAGAACTCTTGAATTAAATCATATTCATATTTTATGATGAATATGATTAAAAGTAAGGTGAAAATAATAAGGTATTTTAGATTAGTGCAGTTCGTTTATGTAATTTAGTTGCATCTTATAACGATCTCATGAAGTTAAGTGATGATAAACAGTGATGGTCTCATGATCTCATCTCAACGGCGGACACTTTTTTCTTAGTCTACATTTCTTGCATACTATTTGTTATCATGATAACGGTGACACTTTTTTCTTAATGTATATTTCATGCATACTCTTTGTTATCATGATTTAATTTATCCGTATCATGTCAAGCACAAAAGGTGCATTTAACTTATATTGCAATTTTAAAATCAATATTAGGATATGGTCTAGAGCTAGAAGCTTAGAAGTATATAATATTTGCTATTATTGAAAATCAATTTATTTTTTGAAGCTCATTGATAGTTTTCTTATGTGAATTTTTATTAATATAAGTAATATTTTTATATTTTTAATATGTGAACAGTAAATCCGGTTCAACTCGGTTGAACCAGTGACCCAGTACCTCGACCGATTCGATAACCGGTCCGAGTTTTAAAACACTGCTTTCAACCAAAACATTTCTCCAAATCTTAACCCAACTCCAACCCTTTTTAACACACCCCACAGTTCTTCTTGTAAAGCAGCACAATGTCCAATTCTTGCAGCAAACCGCCCTAGCCAAACTTCTATATGGTCACGAAGAAGCCCTTCACAAGCTGCTTCAGTCGTTTGACTCTTTGAGGCCTCATATGTATTTAATTTAAGATACAGTGTCAAAGGAGGCTGCCAGCTAACATCCCTGGAGGAATGGAGTCGTAGCCCTGGCTTTGTGTCCCTAAAGGAAAATTGTACCTCCTTCAAGCAGTCAAGGATTGGTCGAGCAAGGTGGCGATCCCCATTAGGAGAGCTATCGTCGATCATTTTATTTTTCCAGGGCCAAATATACTAGCAACAAATAATATATAATGAACTCCAAACAAATCATCCCACACCCATGACATCGCAACTTCAATTATCAATTACTCAATCATCCCAATTAGCATAAAAAATTGAGCTAGTCTATCATATGGTAAGAGATTGTACCATATATCTCACCGGGCAATCTCAAAAAATATGCAACAAAGACTCCTTCTCTTGCTGACAAATCAGGCAAAGAGGATTTGCCACAGACCATGATCTGATCGGGATACTGACCAAAATGTCACTGTTCACCAACTTTTTTACCTAAATGCCACGCGAACAGTGTTATTTCCCAATCTGCCACGGGGGCAAGTTCGCTTCTGACACAAGCGACCTTGGTTTGCTGACGTCACATTTTTAGTGGATAACAAGTATTAAATTTAAAAAAAAAATCAAAAAAAATGAAGTTCGCCTACCATGTAGGCGAACTTGGTTAAAATATTGTTGGAACCAAGGTCACCTGTGTCAGAAGCGAACTCTGACACCACCAGGAAACTGACACATCAGCAAACCGAGGTCGCTTGTGTCAGAAGCGAACTTGCCCCGTGGCAGATTAGAAAATAACACTGTTCACGTGGCATTTAGGTAAAAAAGTTGATGAACAGTGGCACAATGGTCACTGTTCCTGAGCTGATCCAATCTTTTGTAGACAAACTTTTTCGTAATAATCTATAGAAAAACATTTGAATTCGTTGAGCACTTTCCATTTAACTTCTTTATAAGTTAATGTGCAGTATTCCGTACAAATCATACTAATAACACAGAACTGTCAATTTTATTCAAATCTTCAACTTACTAATAATTATTATATTTTTATAAACAAAATCTTTTAGAGCGAGTTTATTTTTGAAGTGTCGAAGTTAGAATATATTCACTCTTAAATTAGGATACCAGAAAAAATATTCACTCTTAAATTTTAGTTTGTTATCATGGAGTACTTTAAATTAAATCAAGAATAAATACACCCTTATTTGTGCACTTTAAAAGACACAGTTGAAAAGAACCTTATCCATACTTACAATTCCTAATTGTGCATTTGTAACAGATTAATAGAAATTTTAAATAGTTTGGGTGGAGGGGGTTGACACTAGCATGGCCATTTCAAATGTGAGATTTTCGAAATATTCAGTTATTGGAGAAAGGGTCGTGATTTATTTCCTCATCATTCAGCATTTTTTCTTTCTAAGCTGAGATGAGGGAATGAAAGTGGGGGAATAGAATTAAAAAGACTCTACACAGAGCCCGTAAAAGTGACAGATAAAAATTCAAATTGATCATCTACCAAAAAAGATTCAAATAAATCAACCAATACCCAGGGAGCTCCTCTTCAAAACTAGAATATATCAATATTTCTCGGATAGTGTAACTTATGTATACACACACAAGGGCAAAGAACTGAGATGAGATTTCTGAAAAGGAACTCATATCATGCTGGAACATCAGTTGTATCACTTGCCTTTACAAATCGCCCTCTCACCCGCTTTCTCGTATCAGCCCTAGCCTTCCTTGATTCATACCGAATGTGCTTATCGTACCTATGCAATGTTTAATGCCACAACTTTTAAATAGAGATAAAATGTAATCTTTCCAAAATAGGAACAAAAAAAAAGAAAAAAGTTCAGGGCATATTCTAAAACTAAGAGACTGTAAGTATAGATTTTTATATATATTCATTTGCATTTGCTTCATATGTGTTAATATTAAACGAACTATACCTTCGAGTTTTCTTCTTCTCCTTGTAGCGTAACATGGCATCCCCTCTATTCTTTGCTAGCTCTTCCAAGTTAACCTTGGCTTTTATGAAGCTAACATTTTCACTCCCACTCACAAAATGCTCCACTGTTGCGACCTTGTTGGTGCCACTGTATGTTATGGATTCAGTCAATTTGGACTCTGACGATAATCCACCTCTTGCTTTCTTGTTGCTTTCCTCTTTCTCCTTCACATGGCTTGATGATGACTGATCCGATTGATTCTGCAATTTTTGTACAGACTAATAATTTATTAATTACCGGTTCCCTACAGATAAAACCCATCATGAAATAGAAATATATGACAAAAAATGAATGAATACAGACCAAATCATATGGGAACTTTCCTGCAATATTTTCACAACCGTTCATAAAATAATAAATTGTGGAAAATTGCTGAAGCTAAACATAGAAATAGTGCTTGTAATATTGTGGCTTTACGATGATACGGATGCCGTTGTAACGTTAAAGTTAAACTAGGGAAAATTAAAGTTGGAAGATTTTTCTATGCATCTTGAGCAATAAAATCCTTCTGTCCTACATTGTCCCTCCCCATGTGAACTCTGTACACTAAATCAAAGCAATGTAGTCCCACAGTTTTGTCAGTTTGTTTAGATTTCAAAGCTAATTAATTACTCCTAGCTCAACCTTCTTCTTCAACATCGATTAAAAAAAAAAAATCCTCACAAAATGGAAATCGGCGGGTTCATTATAATTAAGGTGTGCCAGAACCTCACAAATGATACGAAGACAAAGAACCCTATAGAGCATGTGCATATTCCATCAAGATCCTCACATTATAGAGAACCTAAATCGATTATACACAGCCATTATGCCTTTTGCATCAACCATTCAAAAAACATTTCATCACATTCACACAAACAGTTGCACATGCCTATAAATTAAAGATATTTTTTTGGTTATAAAATTAGAAGAATCCTCTAACACCAAGTGACTAAACAATTATGCACAAAGAATGGCTTACATTTCTTGATAGTATATCATCACCAATCGTTGAGCAATTCATATTTTGCACATCTTGCAATGTTTTTGGAATCAATAGGGAAGAAGCTTCTTCTCTGCCATCAAATGTCACCGTTCTTGGTTCACCACAATCTCTTGATTTCTGCAATTGAAAATCCCAAACCTGGAAGAAAAAAATGAACATCAATTATACAATAAATTTCACGTGTAAACTAACTATTCCATAATAAATTGAAACCTGAGGAGCCTGATATGCGGGATTACAACAATTCCAGAGAAGATCCCCTGCTTCGGTTCCGTAATCGTTGTTTTTCTTCGTGTCAACATCAGATTCAGATGGCAACATGAGCAAAGACCTAAACGGTGTTTGATGCAGCAACAACTCATCAACATCATTTTCCTTCCCATAATTATTATTATTATTATTATTATTGAATTTGAATTCATCACTCTCTACAGCACCCTGCACATTGAGGTTCCTTTTCCTTGCGATTTCCACAACCTGCTCGTACACCTCATCCCTATATTTCCCGCAATACAAACTCTGACCCTTTGATAACGAAACGGTGGGGACCACAGGGACATCGAGCTCATGGGCCGATTCGTTGGGCCTGAGATCGAAGCCCAGCGAGGACGCAATCTCGAGAACGGAAGGGCAGCCGGAGAGTGCCTCGACGGGGTGGCGGTCGTGGTGGTGGAGCGGCAGCGCGACCGAGGAGTGGACGTCCCAGTCGCAGCGGCTGCAGAGAACGAGGTTGTCGGTGGAGCAACGAACGGCGGCGGTGTCGGATTTACACGTGTCGCAAATCTGGTAACGGAGGTGCTTAAGGGAAAGCGCGTTTGCAGAGTGAACGTGCTGGTCACACACCAAACAGAGCTTCGCCGAGTCAGCTTTGCAGAACAGAACCGCGCTTTTCGAATCGCAGTAGTCACACGGCAACAGCATCTTAACAAATTAAAATGTTTTAAAAAAAGAAAAAGAAAAGGAGGTTCACAAAGTGAGAGTGAAGAGAACTGGAGAAATGTTGAAGGGGGGAAGTTGAGGTTGTTGGAATTATAGTGTGTGAGAGAGAGAGAGAGAGAGAAGTAGTTGATTGATGAAAGGGCACATGATAAGCATGGGGAAGGTGGAGACGAAATCTGAAGGTGGGGCAAACGGGTAAAAGATATTTCGTCACTTTTTTGGCCATCTTGCATGTGCGTGCTACTGTGCTGTCTCGGTTTTCGCGATTCCCACCACTTTGCTCCCTTACTCGTTCCCATTCTTCTTCTTTCTTGTATTAATAATTGAACGGATTAATGTTTGCCACATAATTTTATTTCTTAATCACATAATAAAAAGAAGAAAGAACAAAATAATATAAATCTCCTATATAGGAAATAAAATAATTATTATTATTATAACATGAGAAACATTCATTTTCGTAATTGATTAGCTCTATGCAACTTCTTGGACTTGGAACTCATTCTAACTGCGTTTTTGGTGTTTTAGCGGGCCAAACTTGAATGGGCAAACTATGTAGCACTGTCTCGACATGTGACATGACATTATAACACGTTTTAATATTAAATAATTGAAAGTGAAATTGACCTTCAAGGTCGAAGCATGTGAGAGGGAAAAACAAAAATTTTCAAGCGGAATCACACATGCAATCAAGACTCATGCTTTAAGACAGCATGATGTTACTTTTGTTTGTGATTCAAACACTAAGGAGATCAGTGTAAGGTTTGAAGGGTTCAAACCCTCTAACGTTGATCCACACCACCCACGTCAAAATGCAAGAACTCTTCTTGAAAAGCCACTAATTGATCACCATAAAAGCTTGTTAGGCGTCCAATGTGTGAAGGAGGAGGCTAGGTTAAGGTGTTTAGAAGAGTGAAATTTTCAGCTTAAAACTCCACAAAAACGGCGCATGGATTTGATGATATATGGCTAGGTTATTTTTCAAAACCTCTTAAGAAAAACCTAACAAAAGGATGACCAAAGGAGATGAGAGAACTATCAAAATTGGATCAGATTTTTTTCTAAAAATCTGACCATAAGTAGCGCACAATACAGAGGAAAAATGGAGTTGTTGCATCATCAAATCTTGCCAACAACCTCATATCATATCCTCATGATATCAAGTCAATATCTTAACAAAAATCTGACTTAACAAACATCATATGGCAAGCCATATGGTGCGCCCAATTCAGCCCCAAAAACAGTCCAGATACGTTGTGTAGTTGCATTCAAATTTGAACCAACTAGCTCACTGATTCGCTCAACAAACCAAATCTGATTTGCAGCTTATTTGGTTGATAAGATGACACTCACAACAACTGTAACACCACGTATGCATCCGGTTTGTTAACATTACATCGTATTAAGCTGCGCTTAATAAAAATTGCGGAATATCTTTTTCTTTTCCAATTATGACGTCATATACTTAGCCAAGTTGATTACTTAATCAATTTCATAAAAACATCGTCTGTATGTAAATTGCAATAAGACATCTACTGATATACCTCCATATATAAATAAAGTGTGTATCTAAAATCACGGATCTACAACTCGTAGTCCGGACCATAATCCTGATACATTATTACAACTCCAAATAAAACAAGACATAAACAAGACTATGTGTCATGGAAAATCCCCATGCTCACCAAATCAACAGCGTCTCAACAAGATGATATACAATCATAAACTGAAGCTAAAAGCATAAAGCAACATGCATAACCAGCACCCAACAAGTCAGCATAATATAACAGCAATATCTAACTCAGCTCCGGCCTCCTGTCGCCTGAGGTCTCGACCTTACCTGAACCTGAAATAAACGCCCCAAACGTGGGGTGAGATCTCTAACAGAAATCTCAATAAGAAAAGGGGTCCTCAAGGATCTTCCACCCCAAGCTCACTTACATGTGCAATTTAAGTTCAAAAGCAATTTAACAATATAATTTCCAAGATAGTGCAATGCAGCAGATAATCATGTCATGTGGGTTATAACTATTCTACTGATCAGAGAAATGCAGGAATATGTCTATTACCCACACAGTACCAGCCCGTGTTGTATCAGCCTATGCTGTACCCACCCCCAAAGGGCCACCCCATGGTTTCCCTTTAAGGCAAACACCACATAAATATCATACAACAATTGCACTTAACAGCTCTATAGCATTTCAATAAAATAGTACATGAAGACAACATCATGCATATAACCATACCCCAATGGGACATGGTGGAACCAACAATGGCTAAACCAAGGACACGAAAGCTTACCTCGCAAGCTAAAAACCCAAACCAAGGTCCACACCAGCTCGAGGTCCACAAACAGCACAATCACAATCTGTTTTAGACCAACAATTATATCAATATTCATATTCTAATATTTTACCATGATAAACAGACATCTTGAGGTTTCCAACGATATACTTTATGTCTTAATCGGAGTTGTATAACTCCGGTTATGATTTACGCAAGGTGACTGCTGCAAACAGAATTTCCAGCACCCAAAACGCGACTTAGAATAGACACTTCAATCAAACTAATGATCCAATGGCTACGAAAATTTACAGAGTTGTATCCCTATGTGTTAGCTTCACATAGGTCCTGACGGCACTCAATTTGGAGCTCAATAGCCCAAGATATCGAATTTTTACTAAAACAGGTTCGTTGTTGTCCAGACCAAAATATCGGGATATTTCCAACCAAATATCCGGATATTTCGCGTCAGAATGCAGATTTTGCATTTCGCGAGATATCAATCCCAAGGGTCCATTTTTATCGATTACAAACACTTAAACATGCATTTCTAGGTGTGTTTGACATTACCCAACGTTAAGTTATCATCTTTTAGCCTTTAGATGCATCAAGGTTCCATTTTTAAGCATAAAAACTCATGATCATGGGTTCAACCACTTACCCAAGCTTCAAACAGAAAAGAGGGATGCTCTTGGAGCTCTCAAAGGCTCCTCACAGTTCTGACCTCCAGGAAAAACGAAAATGGAGCAACAAGTTTGGTTCTTGCACTCAAAGATGGCTCCTTGACACCCAAAAATGCCAAGAAAAGGTGCACACTCTCCCCCAAACCAAAGACAGCAACAACAATCCACCCCACAGCCACTCCAAGCCAGAAAGAAGCACCCTTTACCCTCTCACTCACACCACCAAGTGTTTATTCAAGAGAAGAGGAAGAAAAATCAAAGGGAAAGCTTCAAGGTTCACCACCCAAGGGAAGAGCACAAAGGAACCAAGTTTCTGGTCAGCCACCTCAAGACTTCACGTAGGGTAAGTTTGTTATCTAGGGTTTAGTGCCCAAAAGCCATATATATAGTCCACTTAAATGAAATCACACAGTATTAACTTTAATTGCTACGCTTAGCATTTTAATCCCAAACTCAGAATTCTTAACCTACTCAATTTTACAAGATTTATCATATTTTTCTTATATTTTTCTCAGCACCTTTTCGGTACGCGCTTTTCATAGCCAGTATCAGATTCTGGCACCAGTTCTCATTATTTGGACTTGAAACTTGTTTTACAAGTCCTATATATTATTCTAGTAATTATCATGCACTTATTATAATTTTTTGGGATACTTTTTTGGTACGCATTTATACCGACTAGCATAACCGGTATCTGCACTTTTCTTCCGAAAAGCGACTTTCAACATTCTTAATCACTTACCATAATTATTAGAGCCTCATAATAATTATTAGGATCAATTATGGAATCATTTCCTATTTTCTCATAATTAATTAATTAAATTCCTTAATTAACGGTGCGGGTTCTTACATTCACCCCACCTTTTTAAGGATTTTGTCCTCAAAATCAGAAAACATACCTGTACCGAAGCGCGGGATACTGCTAGAGAAGCTCGTCCTCTCGCTCCCAGGATTACCCTTCAGGAATTCTTCCCGTTCAACATACTCTGACCATCGAAATGATCTTGCTCCTCAGCTGTTTCTCGCCACGATCGAGAAACTTTAGTGGTCCGACGGGAGTTTTGAAGTTCTCCCGAACCTCCACAACATCCGGTTGCACCACGTGCGAAGGATCCGCTACAAACTTGCGAAGTTGAGACCCGTGAAACGCGTCTTGGGTGCTGTCCAAGTTTGAAGGCAAGGCAAACCGGTAGGAAACAGATCCTACTCTACCACGTAACTGGTATGGCCCAAAGAACCGCGGGCTCAGTTTCCTCACTCCAAGTGCCCGAACAACACCGGTGACAGTGAAAGCTTCACAAACACGTGCTCACCCTTACCGAACTCCAGTGAACGATGCTCAACATCAACGTAGTCCTCCTGACGACTAAGCGCCTGCATCAACTTTCCTCTGACCATCTGACCCGACAGATGGTAATCGGACAAGGTCCAAACCAAACAACTCTTTTTATCTCCAATCTCAGACCAACAGGTAGGAATTCTACACCTCCTACCAAACAGCGTCTCGTAGGGTCCCATGCCCAGGCTAACAAGGAACACACAATCACAAAACTCTACCAATGACAGGTACCTATCTCATGTGGGGCACTGTTCTAAGGTGCACGCCCTCGACATGTCCTCCAAGATCTAGAGGGTCCGCTCAGTCTGTCCAGCAGTCTGAGGGTGATAGGCTATACTCAGTCTCAACTGAGTTCCAAAAGTTCTCAGCAGCGTCTCCCTGAACCGAGATGTGAACTTCGGGTCCCTAATAGAGAGGATACTCTCGGGCACCCCGTGAAGACTCACGATCTCGCGAACGACAGTATGACCAACTGCTTTAACGAGAAGCTCACCTTTACCGGAAGAAAGTGGGCAGACTTAGACAATCTGTCCACGATGACCCAAAAGAGTCATTACTAACCTGGGTCTTAGGCCGACCCATCACGAAGTTCATGGAAATACTTTTCCACTTCCACAACGGTACCTCAAGAGGTTGAAGCTTACCAACGGCTTCTGGTGTTCAATCTCTACCTTCAGGAAAATCAAACACTTGGACACATACACCGCTATGTCCTTCTTCAATCCACGACACACCATCTTGGTTCTTCTCCAAAAGCTCATTCTCGACTCTCAAAGTCTCAAATTCGAGAAGTGCATCCTCAAACAAAGAGGTCACTGTCAGAACTCGAAGTTTCACAATGACGTCACGACATCATCTGATTCTCTGGGATCATCAGTCATTCCCTCAATAGGGGTAACCTAACCCCACA